TGCGGAATATACAGCTCTGTAGAAGGGGGTGCATGTGATACACACATCAAGCTTTCCCTTTCTTTCCAAAGTGACACATTACGTTTAGAACATTTGCGTGTTGTTGTTGATGTTCGAAGAGAATGCCCCCATCCCCAATGTGACTGACACACATATTAACCTTTTAGAAGTATGAACAAAGGCATCAGTTTGATGAACTCCAATTCTGTGTGTTTCTTAGACTGAGGGTGCCGATGTACATTTTTGTAGATCAGTGGGGGAAGGGCATGTCCTAAGTACGTCTTGTTCCATGTCATCACTGGCACTGATTCAAAATCTGCACAAGTCAGAAGTCAAATAAATTTTAAAATTATAAAATTATATTATGTTTTAAAATCTAAACATGTACATAAAATTGTATTGATTCTAAATTCGGTTTCGCAAAAATACTCTGTATGAATGTAGATGTTGGCCAATGGGTAGAGGGGCTGAGTGACATTCTCTGAAGTGATCTTATGTATCCATTGTAACATCATTCTGTCATTACTATCAATCAAGATGGAGCATGCACATCAACTATTGATTAGTGAAATAGTTTCTTCACAAGGGTTAAGCACTGTTCACACCAAACTAGAAGTTAATAGGTAACAACTACCATTTTCTCACCGGACAATAAAAATGTGATTTCACTCGAGCACATGATTTTCACAAGTCTTTGGCTCTTTTATTTATAAATTTGAACTAAATCTAACATATATCATATTAACGTTATAGTACCCCGGTATTTATATTCAACACTAGAGTTTGATATTTTGACTTTACTTTTGATGTCATTTGACCTTTCAAATTGACGATAAAACAAAAATGAGTCCATGTTGAGGATATTTATCCTTCTAGGAATGATGGAAGCCATTTTTCATTGCTATTACCCTATTCACCGTAATAAGCGCCCAGGGCGCTCTCAAAATTAGAAATAGGGGACTCTTATTAGAATATTGTTTGGGTGAAAAAAACAGATAAAAGATAAGTTTCATGGTTTATGCTGACAGCCTGAAATGTTTATATACGACAGATATATTTTTCCAGAATTTAATTAATTTCCCATAATTGAAGGTGCATATTACACACGAGTGGGTATTATACATGAAAAAATAGGTATTGTGTACCTTGATCAATCGGTAGGGGTGCTAATTGGGATTGTTCACTAGCCAATATATTAGCAAATATCGCCGTGGGCGCTTATTACGTCAAATACGGTACTTATGACAGTGAATTCTTTTGATAGGCCATATTTAGATTTGTACGTCCTCAGACATGATTCACACATTATATCATGGTTCCTTTTGAAGTGAGTGCTTGAAGCTTAAAGGGTCCCCTTGTTAAGTGACACACATGACTAATCAATTGCTTTGATGTCCATAGTTCTGAAAGAAAAAGGTTAATGTCAAAGTGGCACTAAAGATGCATCACTAAACTTGGTGTATATAGTGACATATGAAATAATGCCACATATAAGGTCAGTATGTTAGCTTAGGAAGAAATCTGCCAAAACCAAGCACCAGTACTATCTAACTTCTTTGATAGGCATTAAGAAGTTGGAGTACTAAGTAAGGATAAGAATTTATGGATGAACAACAAATTGTAATAAAGAAGTTGTTCATCAATAAATTATTATCCTTACTCAGTACTTTCTACTTTTGACTTGACTCTAAAACCAAAAGACACATGCATTCTTATTTTGTCCTGGAATCGAAGGCTCCATAAAAATCCTTACAAAGAGGTATATTGCTGGGTTCAGCACATGTACCACCAAATCTCTGTCTCAAAGATTAACCATAAAGCATAATACATTCAAGGAAGGACTTCTTTCTTTATATACACGGAAAGTATATGAGACAAGAGGAATTAATATCATGTGGATTCTCAAAAACTCCAGAGATTTGCTAAAGTTTTTCAATCTCAGAAAAGAACCAAACTCAATTGTTTCAAAACACCTAAAGTTACCATGTACTGAAGTTACCGTGGACTGAAGTTACCAGGCACTGAAGTTACCAGGGACTGAAGTTACCAGGGACTGAAGTAACCAGGGACTGAAGTTACCAGGCACTGAAGTTACCAGGGACTGAAGTTACCAGGGACTGAAGTAACCAGGGACTGAAGTTACCAGGGACTGAAGTTACCAGGCACTGAAATTACCATGGACTGAAGTTACCAGGCACTGAAGTTACCAGGGACTGAAGTTACCAGGCACTGAAATTACCATGGACTGAAGTTACCAGGCACTGAAGATACCAGGGACTGAAGTAACCAGGCACTAAAGTTACCAGGGACTGAAGTAACCAGGGACTGAAGTTACCAGGGACTGAAGTTACCAGGGACTAAAGTAACCAGGCACTGAAGTTACCAGGCACTGAAGTTACCAGGGACTGAAGTTACCAGGGACTGAACTAACCAGGGACTGAAGTAACCAGGGACTGAAGTAACCAGGCACTGAAGTTACCAGGGACTGAAGTAACCAGGCACTGAAGTTACCAGGCACTGAAGTTACCACGGACTGAAGTTACCAGGGACTGAAGTAACCAGGCACTGAAGTAACCAGGGACTGAAGTAACCAGGGACTGAAGTAACCAGGCACTGAAGTTACCATGGACTGAAGTAACCAGGGACTGGAGTAACCATGGACTGAAGTACTAATGTTGCTCGTAATTTATTAACTGAGATTGTCGAATTAGAGAGTAAACTTCTGGCAATGAGGAACTGTGGACTATGTGCCCCAAGTGAATTAATTGTATAAGTCCCATGCCTTGGAGAGAGACTTTCAGCAATTTGAGTTGGTTATGCTTATTACTTTTACCCATGGTGGTTTTTTTCTAGAAATTTAGAAAAATGTGATTTGTGATCTTGATGTGCAACATCAGCTCAGTGAGTCGTATTGGCACGATATTACATGAAAGTGTTTGTGACATCATGAACAATGGATGACATCATCTTAATAACTGTTGACGATGCGTTCATATGACATCCCCTTGCTTTTGGCCATGGAACATGAGGATGGTCATGCCCCTCCCCCACTGATCTACAAAAAAGTATATTGACACCCTCACTCTGAGAAACACAGAATTGGACTTTGTCAGACTGATGCCTTTGTTCATATTTAAAAAAAGTTAGTGTGTGTCAGTCACATGGGAGATGGGGGCAATCTCTTCTATCATGATCAACCTCACGCAAATGTTCTAAACGTAATGTTTCACTTTGGAAAGAAAGGGAAAACTTGATGTCTGTATTACATGCACCCCCTTCTACAGAGCTGTATATTCTGCAAAATGTTTGTGTTAAACACAGGAAAATATAAACTTGGACTCTCACGCAAACTGGTACTAACCAGCCAAACAGCACAAGGCAAAAATTATGATATTCAGTGAGAACTACTTCGAGTTATTTCACCTGTCTCCATTCTCCTTTCTGTAACGTAACTTTATCTGTTGCACACTGGAAGGCGACGTTCAAGTGTCTACCTTTCGTCTTTTCTACTCCACTGGAAATTATTCAATTAATGGGGAACTAAACATTATTCTCTTCCTATGACATGTGGAGAACTAAACATGATTCTCTTTTTATGACATGTGGAGAACTAAACATGATTCTCTTTTTATGACATGTGGGGAACTAAACGTTATTCTCTTTTTATGACATAATGAAAAAATAAAGAAACTATGCAAGGTCCATGACCACGAATGCAGGAATGAATAATTGACTATAGGAGCAAGTACACACTTTATGTTTCTAAGGGCCACGAATATTGTCCCATCTAGTTTATACCAAGACCAAGAATATTGGTCCAATGACAACCAGTTCCTATAAAGACCACGAATATTGGTTAATGACCGTAAAGTGTGTCTTGCTCCAACGAACGAAAAGCCTGCACTACCGATTGCAATGCATCACGTGTCAGCATTCATTTTCTGCACATGAAATGGATGTCACGATCTGATTTTCCGCGAAGCATGTGGCGTTTATGCTAAATGTTCATGTTACATGAACCGAAACAATGTTTGTTTTGTTTTTTATTATGTTTTCTCAACAACATCATCATTAACATGAAATTCTTTTGTTCGCTAAAAGTGTGAGCATGTCCCGCCCTGTCGGTAGTACCTGCCTCTCACAGTTTGCTTAAAAAGTTAACTGTTTGTTTGTTGCCTAATCAACTCGAAACACAAATGACAACCGTGAACCCCAATCAAACATCACCTTGACTTCTCATTACCACACATTCAGGCAGCAGTGGCATTGTTTTTGCTGTTAATCAGGCTATTCATAGACAAGTTCAGAGGATGTACACATGGAAGTGAAGACTGACGATGTCAAATATCTGATCAACATTTTGTTGTCAAAGACACACCAGATGTATTCCTCAGCCACAAAGGTTAAGGAATATCCATTGTAGTTGTCTCTGGATCTTCCTTCCAAGATTGTTATTTTTAATGCAAATTTTGTAAGTGGAGGGTGCTACTGGTAGGGCAGGACATGCTTACCCTTTTCTCAAACAGGCTTTTAATGCCCAATGGAATCGTTTCGTTGGATAATCGAGACTACCGTATTCGACGTAATAAGCGCCCCGCTCTAATAAGCGCCCACGGCGATATTTGCTGATATATTGGCTAGTAAACAATCCTAATTAGCACCCCTTCCAATTGATCAATGTACACAAGACTTATTTATTCGTGTATATGCACACTCGTGTGTTATATGCACCTTTAGTTATGAGCAATTAAATTCTGGAAAAATATATCTGTCGTACATAAACATTTCAGGCTGTCACCATAAACCACGAAATTTATCTTTCAACTCTGTTTTTTTTCCACCAAAATAATATTCTGATAAGAGCCCCCTATTTCTAATTTTGAAAGCGCCCTGGGCAATTAATTCATCGAATACGGTAGTTATTCTCTGGTGTTGACATTTTGTATCTCAAGACATCTCATGTCTATCAAAGATTCATGAGACCTGGTTTTCATTTTCAGATAAGATAATTGAAAGACTTTCACCCTTTGCATCATGTGTGGTGAGTATATTTATTTACTATTGACAGATATATTTTAGTGATTGTAATATATTGTATATAATTATTAATCATCTATTAGGGTTCACAGACAGAAACCTATTTTTTTCAAGTCTGCCAAGGGGCACTCTTGAAGATGTTAAGGTGTGTCTTTTGGTACTATATTGTGCCAACTATAATTATACCTTGATCCATCATTGAAGTCGGGGAATGTCATTTCACCAAGGCATATACCACTAAATACCCGGGTTAAAATAGGTCTTCAGAAAGAGGCAACTAACGGGATCAGGTGGTCAGGCTCCCTGACTTGGTTGATGCGTGTCAGTGTATCCCAACTGGGCAGTTCGATTCTCATGATGTCAATCACTGGATTGTCTGTTCCAGACTCGATTATTTATTGACCGCTGTCATATAGCTTGAATATTCCTGAGTCAGGCGTTAAACATCAAATAAATAACCAAACAAAACAAATAAAACCAAGGCAAGATAATCAGCAGCTTCCTTTTCATTTAGATTGATAACACCATTTTTCTGAATACCCATATATAGTTTGTGAATTAATTGTACTGTGCATTAGGCCTGTTCACTTCCTCATCCAGGTGTTTCCATGTGTTTGTCATGGTTATGTGTGGTATCACATTGTAACGAGGTATTGTAGTTCCAAACTATGATATCTAAGTGTGCCCAGCTTTCATGAACTTATTTTAGCCGTAACATTACTATTTAAACAGTGCCAATTATGGAGGAATGTAAACACACATCGAACTGTATTTGATGTATTGCAATTGTTTCCCCTGCGATTGTACTGTATTGATAAGAATTTAAAAATGCCCATAGTATTGTCAATGGGATGCGTAACAAAGTGGTAGCTTCAATGGTCTCAGTTAGTTATAAATAAAACAGACATTATTCTTAAATAAACTCAGTTTTTACAGTTGAATTCAAACCAGCTGTGTTTTGATTAGCAAGGATTACAACTTTAGATTAGAGTAACGTCCCTTTGGTTTAAGTAGAAACAGCAAAATAGCTGACTTTGACATTGTTGGCAATATATTTTTTCATATCTAATACATTGATTTATATATTCATATAAGATAGCTACACGATAAATCACAAAGAACAATGATGAACGAAGCATGGTTTATTTAAGAATTGACCTTAACTTTGTGTGAGTTCATTGGAGTATGAACCTTCATAGAGTGAGGGCCAAACTGTATGAACGTCGGAACTACCTCAGTAAGTCAGTCACAATGACAGCGCGTCGTAATACATTTACATCAAGTACAAGACGTCAAAATGGCCGACACGTTAAACGTGACAGGAGGATTTCCGAAGTTGTTAATGAACCTGTGGCGGTTACATGTGTTAGTCATCATTGATCAACTGACCAATTATTGAAAGGTGATTAAAGATGCGTCAAACAGACCCCAAGGTAAATTTGTAGATTGCTGGAGACAGTCACTGTCAGCCTAGAAACAGATCGTGGCGAGGAAATTCGTGAACAATCATGCAGTCAAGCTCTATTACGTTTCTCAATGTATACTGAAATGCTGAGACCAAGATTAAAGGTTCTAAATGATCAGAAATAATGCTTATGTATGTTTTCGTGCTAGGGAATTCCCAGGGGTTTCCCCAGGAATGTGGAAGTAGTCCGTCAGTGTTTACGTCCTTTCAAGAACACGGTCTCGTGAAGAACGTATGAACGTCAAATTGTGTCATTCATACACTTATGAACGTCAATTTCGCGGTCATGTGACCGACCTCTCGTCCAATGGAAAAGCCGTATATCGTGTAAACATCAAATTAAAAAATTATTTCATGATCAAACATTGATCTATCATGACATCATTTCTGGAAATGTCATATATTAGACGACATTATTTTTTAGAGCGAAGTGTCTCGTAAGTTGTTCCCCATAGATGTAACTGGAGTACGCAGATATACACAGTGGCCGAATGATCACATCCAAAAGTGAGAGAGATATGACAATTGGTATTAGGAGAAAATGTACAGGGCCCCGTTCCTCAAAGCGATCTTAGTGCTACGATGATCGTAAACCTATGTTAAAGTATGGGACTTACGATCACCTTAGTGCTAAGATCGCTTTGTGGAACGGGGCCCTCATGATTGACGTGAGGATTGTGAGAATATGTGGGAAATCCCCAACTTGACCCACCTGCTCACCTCAAGGTCTATTTTCCCTGCAGTGTTATATTGTATGATAAACAACTCTCACTCATCATGTATTTCTTAAATCAGGCCTCAAAGTTTCAGTGATAACTATTGCAATACAATTGCAGTAGTGTGTTGGGTACTATTGCAATACAATTGAAAAAGTGAAAATAGCCCCAATAGCCAATGGCTCTAACATACAAAGGGGGCGGTCGGGTAGCCTAGTGGTTAAAGCGTTCGCTTGTCACGCCGAAGACCCGGGTTCAATTCCCGACATGGGTACAATGTGTGAAGCCCATTTCTGATGTCCCCCGCCGTGATATTGCTGGAATATTGCTAAAAGCGGCGTTAAACCATACTCACTCACTCTAACATACAAAGTAGGATTTACAATACCTGGAATTTGAATTTTCACAGATTTAATGTTATAATGACTTGTTTGGCTTGTAATCTGATTTTAAGTATTTTGCCGATATATAATAATGAGTAACAAGACCCAAGTGTTTTCTTGCGCACCAGCTTTGATTGAAGGAACATCAATTGTCATTTTTAAGGTGACAACTGACATAGACAACCTGTCATTGAAACTTCTACATGAACCATTAACTACAAACCTGACAGGAATTTGCAGAGCACTTTAGAGGCCTTGATGTGACATTACCATTAATCAGGTCTGCAAGCTTTGTTTAACTTTCCAATGCTTCCCCTCTGACATGAAGGACAGCGGCACTTGAGAAGTCTTGTAGCAGTTTTAAACACTTAAGCATGTGACATGGCTGCTCAATCGGTCTAGACACTTCTGATGGGACTTTTCTAATGTGTTCTCTAATCAACAGCGTAGTTGACAAATTACAGTAAGGTCTGATCTGTGGCCAGCCACTAAGTATTTCTTCTTCCGAAGATGTATGACCTTTGGTGTGAATTGTGGGATGTTACGAGGGTTGACTTATGAGTTCTAAGCCTAACGTAGGATTTGCATAATTGTTCGTGATCACAGCACGTTCCTCAAGTTTGTCAGTTTTCAAAAGTCCCGATACACCTGCTTATTTTTCTGACTTGCCACAGCAAAACAATTGACAAAAGTATTGGTGGATATACCTCTTTGACATTATGTAATGTCCACAAAAGATTTCACAATTAAATCCTTCTAGTTGAGTCTCAGAACGGCCCATGTATGTTTGACATGGAAGAGGTTCTTCCATGCCCAGAGTTACTGGTCTTGGTATCTGCAATAACCTCACTGTCACATCTAAAAATGGTGGACTAGGCTTGGGAAAAATGACAGTTCTTAGTAAGCATGTTTGATTCAAATCGTTCAAAGAACACTTTGTCTTCTAGCTCAAATTTTATGACATGTATCAATCGAACAGTTAGTGTTTGTTTGTTGTCCTAAATGATTTGACTTACCTTTGCAAGGTTTTGGAAACTAGTATTTTTGGTTCTGTGTACCGGGTAATTCGTAATTCAGAATTTGTTTACTCATGTCAATTGCTATGAAAATATTTAGTATACCGGTAGCAGTCCACACTTTTGAAATAGCTCGTTTTAATGGACAGTAATTGTCGTATCCATGTTTTGTGAGGACCATGTGCTACTGTACTTACAGAATGGTGATTTATCAATACAAAACATAATCTGATCTGTCAGTATACACTTTTGAAGACCTACTGAAACAATGTTGTTGATTCATTAGTCATTTTGTCACACTGTCATCATTCTTGTCATGCGAGTAAATATTTACTGCTGCAATCGTTTTCTTCAAGTTGTTGATGTATTTTCATTGTGTGTCAGTATATATTAGGTATTATTCTTTCTAATATAAAACACCAACGCCAGAGAATACCAGTTTCGATTATCAATTGAAACATTCCATTGCCCATAATTATTCCGATTGGTTCATGTTCGTTTGTTAATGAGAACCAGTATTTTTACTAATGGTCGACTGATTTTTTGCAGCAGAAACAAGTCACCTACGCAGTGATTTTTGTGATTGTAGTTATTGGACGTAGTAAACACATGACTGATGTGTCTGTGCTTCCCATATAAACGGGGGCGGTCGGGTAGCCTAGTGGTTAAAGCGTTCGCTCGTCACGCCGAAGACCCGGGTTCGATTGATTTAAACATATTTTATTCAGATTGAAATGGATTGGGAACAAGTTATCCAACTTAGGACTCCCTCTCCATGGTATTTACAAAGCTTGTACAGTAAATCATATACAAGGAAAACAGAAAAGAAGATGAGTTTAAAGATAACAAGAAATGTACAAAAGAGAGACTAGTATATGTACATTAAAGTGTTACCCAAATCTCTTTGTATGACTTATAAACATTTGCACTGCTTTAAAGATGTGTTGATTTTCGATAATGGACAAACATTCATTTCCGTTTAACATCAAATTTAAATCTAATTTAGCATTTTTGTTCACGGCGTTCTGTAAAATGTCCCGAATTATTATTAACATAGTTTTTCTTTGGTGGACGTACAATGGACACTTTAATAAATAATGATATGCGTTTTCACATGGATCACCACATTGACATATTGGATCACATTTTACCTCTATTCTGTATAAATCATAATTTAACTGGCTTTTCATGTATCTTAATCGAGTATGATAAATATTCAACTTTCTAACACCATAGGAAAAATATGGAGGTGCAATGACTTGCTCTTTTTGTATGTATGTCTTGAATTGGGATGTAGATGTACAATTTCTACCTGCTGCAGGAATAGTGTTCCATAACCTTACAGTTGATGGAATAAAAGAACACGTTGAGTGTTTTAATCTAGTATATGGAATCCCAATATTGTCTGAATTTCTTAAATTATA